AACACTGCTCACATTGTGTTACTTCGTATTGTGTGTATTTCTTGTATTATAATTTAGATTAACTAGGAAATGTTCATGTTAAAACACGTAACAGGACGAAAGACTTCTGGTAGAAATTATCTTCATTAGAGTATATTCGCAACGTTTAATTTCACGAACGAATACGATGTTTGCATTTAATTAATTCAAAATACCACATATATTTATAAAATCATATAAATTTCTAAACTTATTTGTATCAATATACAAAGAACATCCTATTTAAATTAATAATAAATTAATCCCAATATGTTCTCGAATTTATGATTTTTTCGGTCTGACTTTCCGATTCAATAAACAGAAGATCATCACTAGGAAATTAATTTCTTTGCTATTTTCTTTTCAGATTAACATAAGTTTTGTCAAAAATCGCCTAATCTTCAGTAGCCTTCAGGTGCGCTATTGTGCGCCGTTTTATCACCTGACAGACGTGACTCGCACGCGGTGAACACTCCTGATCTTGGAGGTTGCTCGTGCTCGGGTCGTCGGCCACGTAGTTTTTCGCCGTAGGTCACGCGAGAAGTTCTCTTGAGGGACGAAGGCGAAGGTCGCCATCGCAGCCTCGCATCCTCGACCTCTCGTAAGAGCGGCACGTATAACCGAGGGCTGCATCCACAGCTGCACCTCCCCACCGACGCCGCCCGTGTGTATCATCGCTTGCGTTCGTACTACTCTGCTTGACGACGATGTTTTCGACTCGCATTCGTACGAGTGTGCGTGGGTGATGGATAGACGGTTACCGTGTCACTCGTGCAAAGCGCTAAACGGACTTGAATGGCTCGAAATTGCATGGGCGACTGCATTGTGACCGCGTCGACGGCACAATGGACGGCCGTGCGATGAGCGCGCGAGTGTGCGTGCGTCGATGTGTATGCAGATGCGGCACAAAGAGACGTCGAGGATCCATCGGGAGATAACGATCTTCCAGATGAGAGACATTCTTTCGTACAGCTCGATATCGAATCGATGCCGGCTCGAGATCGGCGGGTGGATCGGCGGTCCGAATGACCGGTCCTTTCATCCGACTGTAGGGTCGCAGGTGTGAATTTGCTGGTAGTTTGAAACTAATAGCGAAGTCGTTATACTTTATTTGTTAATCGCGAGAGGAATGGCATCAAAGATATTTGCAAAAGAGATAGAGAGAGATAGAGTAAGTAAGAGTTGTAACTGAGAACGATTTATGCGGACAAAACGGTTTTGTTGAAGTATCTAAAAATTTAACTAGATATAGATCTGAAAATAATTTTGCACTGAGAGAAAAATGTTTGGTATTTGTAACTATAATTACATATCACTATAATTATGATTATTATTGCTATAATAATAGTAACAGTAACTATGTATATAGTTCTAACAACAAATGTATATAGTTGGCAATCTAAAATGACTATATAATTATAGTTGTTATAACCACAGAATAGTTGAAATTACCATAAAATTATAGTCACTTGAATTATTTTTATGGTAATTTCAACTATTTTATGGGGTTGTAACAACTATAATTATAGTCATTTTAGGTTGCCAACTATGTATATAGTTACTGTTATTATAGCAGTAATAATCATAATTATAGTGATATGTAATTATAGTTACAAATACCAAACATTTTTCTCTCAGTGTGTTAGATCATAAAAATAATTATGTAAAAACTGATTGTTAGATTGGCAAAGCTTTTTGCAGCATTATCTATATAAAATATATAATTATTTTGATGATTACCTATATACTTATTTTGATGGTTTAATGAAATTATTTTCAAATCTGCATTTAACTAAACTTTTGAATAATTTAATTTTGCTCCATTAAAATCATTCTTTCTGTGTGCTCCGTAACATTTTTTAAACTATAATAACTTTCTAAAATCCTTTTATATAGAATGTATTCTTTGTATCTAAAGATCTATCTCTTTCTAGCGCAACGATGGCGCACGAGACTTTATGAAATAAAAATCCGTTGGTGTTCACATTCACGTCTCAGTTCTTCATCTCTCTCTTTCGTACAGAAACGAGTAACGTGTCTACCCTAAACAAAATTTATCCTGACTATCCGTTGGCTTTTTTCTAAACTATCGTCTGTGATTCGTCGAGAGCGATGCGTCAGTTATTCGTGTACTGGCTGGAAAAAAAAACTGAAAAAAACCGTCGCTTCCTGTCGCATTACCTCCCCTTCTTTCTTCTGTCTCTAAATACATGTGCGTTTGTATGTAATCGGCGTGATTTTGCACGCGTGTATGTTGTAAAGAAGTAAAACCAATCGGCGGTAGTTTCATCCGCGAATCACTCTCTCTTTTTCTGTTATCAAAGACGTTGCACCTGGTACATAATACGGACCGCCATCTTGAACGCGTCGTTCATCGTAACGTACAAAGGAGAGCAAGGGTAAAATCGAAACTGGCAAAAATCACCCCAAAAATCTTGGACCCCTTCTTCTATCTCCCCACTACCAGCACTGTCTTTACCGTTTGCGAGGAGTCTGCGGAGGGGCCGACAGATTCTCACGGAAAAAAAGCGTAATTTTCGATGAAAAAAGGGAAGGGACGATGCAAATTCGTGGATGAAAAAGGAAAGCCTCGTGTGAGTCGCGTATGTACCTGCCGCAACATCCTGCGCGTTAGAAAGGACGAGGAATAGTAGGTACGGGGAGTAATAGGTCGCGCGAACGAAGGAAGAAGGGCCCAAGATACACCCATAGGTGGGGTAAAACGTGCCGAACGGAGCGAAATTTTATAGGGAATCCACACCAATGCTGTGCGTGCGTGCCAGTTTCCTGAAGGTATCCTACCTGACCTGTTGCGTCTTTTTTCTCCCTTTTTTTTTACGATTTCGGGGGAATCCTCCCGTCAGGTAACGCAGATGGAGAAGCGAAAATCGGGTCGGGGCCCCCGAAAAGTGACGCCGCGCTCTAGCAGGATATTCACTGGATTTTGAATTCCTTCACTCTTCTTCTTCTACGTTTCTATAACGATCGTTCCCGTAGCCCCAGTAGCACCTCGACGGACCCGAAGGATCTAGTCCCCCACCTGCGTTTCAGCGGAGCGTTTTTACAACGTTCTCGCGAGCGTTTATCTCCATTTTTGGTTTCTCTCCTCCAGCTTTTATCCTGGAATCGGAAGTTGATGGGAAAGTACCACGAGAAGAGCGGCTCCAAATGGCTAAGCGACTTCTACTTTTTGGCATTGCTGACCCTCGTCCCCCTTCGACATTGCCTCTCCGCGGTTTTCGACTTTTCCCACAAGAATGTGAGGGAATAGCTTCTTCCCTTTGTCTTTAGTCGCGGCTGATTGCTCGCTTCAGTTTACGTGTTTTTATCTCGTAAACGCGAAGGATCGTTACAGAGTCTAACAAAAGAAATGTGTAGAAATGTAATGTTGTCGAAACGATGATGAAAAGTATTAAGATCCGCAACATTAATAAATATAATCTATCAGATTTAATTTAGTATAATTTACGAATTCTGTAAATATCAGGAGACATGGTAATGTTAAATCAATCACTTGTTAAATTGATTCCCATGATCAAATCTCGTACCTATATAATTTTTATGATTACATAACGTTTGCATTTATAGAAATGTGCTGTGAGATTACGTGTATGTAACTTCATTACTTATTATGTAAATTTAATAATAGCTGTAAATAATTTCTAGCTTCTTTCTTTCCAATTCGAAATCCTAAAGTTTATTGCTCCCGATAACGTCCATAGAATCTCATTGCTGCGACAGCAGCCCTGAGCGCGACATACGTTGAATGCTATAAATCCCCCTTCAAAATAGTATATCGGCGTATCGAAATAATTATTAAAAATCGCGCGAGCCAATCGCGGTGCATAAGCCCATGTTCTCCAAATCAGCGAATCGGTTCCATGCCATTATCCGACAACCCCGGCGCGAACGAAACGAAGGAGGCTCTTAGTAAAGGGGTAGTGAGGGAGAAAGTAGACATAAGATACGATGATGGATGCTCGCGAAGGGTTGTTGCTGTACTGAGTAGGGGGAGAAAGACACGTCGAAAGGGCAAAAGGGTTCTCCTCGACCAATCGGCCTGACGTAACTGATGAGACCGACCAATCCCGGGGCCCAGCAGGGCCGTGTAGTAGTGGGGAAGATTGGTGCACCCTTAGGGGTACGGTTTCGTTGCGTCATTCTGACATTCGCTCTGTATCAGTTCGTCGACGAAGATCAACAGTGACTTCTAGGACTCGAAACGATCTCCGACAAACTAGCTTCTTCGAAACCGTTTTTTTTTATGGGTCCTTAAACTCGCGTCAATCGCTGCGGTCCGCATAAATATTAATGAGGTGTTAACGAGCGATAATTAAACTCAAAGACGTCCGTTCCAATTATCGCAAACTTAATTATTTTCTCAATCGATCGTCAGTTAACATTGCGCGAAGAAACGTGAACAATCGGTGCGTTTTTTTTTTATCGGAGTGCACAGCTTCTTTTTGTCTCATGTCTTCCGAAGCGCAATGGGATCGCGCCGATCGATAGATCAACGTGGGATCGCCGAGCGCGATCCCTTTTGCGCGAAAAATCGTTCGCCGTGCTGGACCTCGAGAAGCGTCCCAATGTAGGGACGACGAACGAAACGGACGAAGCTATGATGGTCTTCCTGGAAGAGTCCAGGATGATCTTCGCGGATATGCGTCTTCATGCCACCAGCACGCCGACCAGCACCCCCACGCGATACCATCATCATCAGAAGTATAGAGCGCAGAACAATAACGATTGTACGACAATAGCGCAATTCTTTTCTGATAAATTTGATAACAAACTACGGAGTCTAAAAATATAAATATTTTAAGTTCTGAGTCTTGCAACGTCAATGTTGCGCTACATCTTGAGTGCTTAATAAGAGTAAAAATAGAGATTTAATTTGAAAGATTTGTCAAGCATAAAAAATTTAAACACAAAAAAGTTTAGATCGAACAATATTTAAAAATCAAGGTTGTTACTTGTTGCAGATGCAGACTTGCATGGGGATGTCGATGGTCCTGAACTTAGCGGAGATGACAGGAGTATCGCAAGTGACATCCAAGATGCTACCGAGGCGCATCTTGATAATGACTCCATGGACTCGGACAGGGAAGCTCTCAATCTGGTAAATAAATTTTGATCTAATTCTATTTGTTTTGATTTATTCTTTCCGTTTTTTCTATATTCGCGATTGTAATATTTTTTTAATTGGTATTGAAATTGAATTATTTTGTTAACGAAGATTTCTCTTGTACCTGTTTAATTTAATATTTTATAAATATTTTATAAAGTATATATTATTCAATACTTTATGAATATATGATTGTGATTAGAAGACAAAAAGATATTGACTATATGTTTGTCATGTATTATTGCGCGTTATTAATAATTATCGGAAGTGTATACAGAGTGCTGAAAAGAGGCGCGGCTTTTAGTGCCGCGAGCAAAATATACGAGTATAATTCGCAAATAATTTGCACGGCATCTTGCGTGCACGAAGCTGCAGACTGCTTGTATAATACGCGCGAAATTAGTCGCTCTTCGTGTCAATGGTTCTATTAACATCGACACGTCTGATATATGTTCTTAAAATTAATAACGAATGACAAACATTTTTACGGTCTTAATAAATGATTATTATCGACACTATTGTTAACAAAATGTAAAAACGTGTAGCATCTTTGGTTCGTTTATTCAATCAAACATAAAACATTACAAACGCTAAGTTTGCCAGATGTAGTAATTTTTATGAACAAATATTTAAAAAACTTACATAGTATAATATAGTGAATGTGAAGTAATCCTTGTATAAAAATTGAAAAGGTTATATCAAATTTTTTTCTTATAAATAAAAATATTTTTTTGATACATAAATAATTAAATCAAGTAAAAAATATTTTATATGTAAATAGATAATATTTTTTATTTATTTCAATTTGTTTTTGGAAATAGTATATGTAATATTTTTATGAGAATCTCTTTCGATTAATCAATCTTGTATTTTGTTTACGCTGTTATTGTTGATAATTAAATATGTCTTCGTACTAAACTCGTCAATAATATTTACAAAAGATGATTTTCTTCAATAACTTAACTTCAATGGTATTTTCTTTACTTATTTTGACAAAAGCGTGCTTTGTCATGTCACCCATTGTCATCTGTTGCCTGTGTGCATTGCTTAAATGTATCAACAACGTTACCAATCCCATTTGCGAGCATAATATCAAGCGTGCTTTCTTTCGAGAGGAACGTTCGCGGACGCGGTGCGACCGTGTCTTCGATTTTTTTTTTTTTCGTACAGGACGCTCTTGACGGGCGTAAAAAGCGCTCGCGATCAATATTTGACAAATAAATAAAGGAAGCCACTAGCGAGATGGACGACAAGAAGGGACGACGTAGGGAGAGTAGGTTTTATAAAACACAAAAGCGCAGGATGGACCGTAGTGACCAATATCCTGACCTGGCCGAGTGTAAACACGGCTTTGTTCGACGGCGAATTTACTCTGTAATATTAGGGAGGGTGGCCCTCCTCGCGCGCGGCCCGGCTGATTCTTCGTGTTCTCGGTCCCACGTTATAGCGTGAAATGTCGTAGCCCGCATTTTAGGGGAATCAAAGATTGTCACTTGATAATATGAAACGATAAACTATTTAGTTGTAGAGCACCAAAAATTGTGCATAGCATCTTACTGACCAAAGTCTCTCAGAAAAGATTTCTCTAACGAAACAAAGAGTATTCGTGACATATTTTATCTTTATGTAATATAAAAATAATACAATATTAAAATTAGAGCAATATTTCCTATTCTTCTTTCTCAAATTAAATAAGATTCTCTATATAATTAAATAAGTCCTTATATCGATCCTATTTTATGATAAATTGAAGATATAGCATTGGATTCGGAAATCTTTTCTATGGGTATAGTAACGACTATTGATTGATGTAATATTGACTCTTAAAATTGGACAGGATGTTTACTGAAATTTTGTAAAAACGTTTCCTGCAAATTCCCGGATTTTTCAAATATTTTTATTCAAAATTCCAAGTAATAATGGAAAATTTTTTAATGCAAAAAATTTTGAAATAAATGGAAATGCAAGCAACGCAAACAATTATATATATCGAAAACTAATAAAAGAAGATTTCATGAAATTACATGTATCTATTATTTTCTACAATCAAAGTCGCGAAATGTAAAGAGGATAATATAATATATAGCGAAGACTCACTATGATATAGTTATTCTCTTTTACTGAGTGTATTTCACTGTTACTCTGACTTTTTAAATAAAAATTTTATTGTATATTTTACTGTTGCTCTGATTTTTTTTTAAATAAAAACTCACGAGAATGTTTACGTGAGTATTTATACATACGCGAATATATATGCTATACTTATTGCTAATCGATTGTCAATATTTTGCATTAGCAAGAAAAAATGATAAAAAAAAAACAATGTTTTCGAGAAAGAAACAGAGTTAAAATAAAAAATAAAATTCTAAAAATTTTTATACTACTGATTTAACTCCACGAAAATCCTTGATTTTTCTTGAGTTAAAATTTTAGTCCTACTTTTTTTTATCTTAAAGGTGCCTCTTCATGCTGACGCTCGACGCTTATTTTCGGCGTCAAAATAAGTCACGTGATAAAAATTGACGAATATTAATATTTTGACGTTGAAAATGAGTGTTAAGCGTTAGTATGAAAAGGCATCTTTAATTTCAAAGTTAAAAAAGAAATTCCCTAAAAATCGTTTTTTCATGTTTTTCAGGTAGTAAACGTCGTATGGAAATATATCTTCTTAGGCTGCATTCAGAAACATCACCCGAGTGCCCCCGTGCATTGTCTTATCCTTGTTGTTCACCTATGTTAAACAAGGATAAGATAATACACGAGGACACTCGAGGTAATGTTTCTGAACGCAGCCTTAGAAAGATAAATATATGTATATCTTAAAATATATATCTACACTGAGAAAAAAATGCTGTTGATTCAATTAAAGTCTATATTACGGGTTGTCACTAACATAAGTGATTAATTCATGTATATTTTTATCGATATAAAGGCATAAATTATTATTTCAATAATCAAGCCTTTATGTCAATAAAATATATACATGAATTAATCACTTATGTTAGTGACAGCCCGTAATATAGACTTTAATTAAATCAACAGCATTTTTTCTCAGTGTAGTAATTACATTTTTCATACAATTTTTGTTGTATATTTTTAGTTAAATTTACATTAGATTTATTAATACAAAAAAGGTCGAATTAATACAAATTTGATGTTGCTTCAGGTCACAGATGTCTCGCAACGCAACAGCAGCAGCGGTACTAGTGGCAGCGCGTCCTCGCCGAGTTCCGGAATCAGCAGCCAGCTCACCGGCAGTCACCAGCAGCAACACACGTCTGGCCAACAAAACAATAGCAATTCTGCGCTGGCGACTGCTCAATTGCTCAGCCAGCAATTGCTGATGCATGGTGCATTAGGGACTCAGGATCTCCAAGCGCTCGCTTCGACGTTGCAACATCATCAACTACAATCGCTACAACAACAACTGCAACAATTCGCCATGTTTCAGGCCAATCCAGCAGCGGGACAGCTTCCGCCGTTCTTCTTGCAAAATCAGGTGGGTGATGAACGATGAAATTCATTCTATATAAATCAGAATCTATTAAAAAATAATATTTTCGATTTTCGAGTCGTTTTATCGATAGCTACTTCGCCGAATTACTTATCTATTTAAATCACAAATTGCATTCCGTATCATTGTGATTCGTCAGCGGGATCGGACCCGATCGGAGCGGATCGTCAAAGCAGCGACGTTCGGCAGTGCTATCTGATCAGGGTGCAGATCAGGCGAGAGCGAACGTCTTATTCTTCGCGTATTCGCGATTCGACGTCGAGATAGCCGTCTGGCAATGGCACAAAGGAAATCGGGTTGCTACCTCCTCGTTTAGGCTTGCTCTCATCGATGCAAATGTACACGAGCAGCGCCTTGCAACCGCATCACAGCTGAATTTCGCGCTCCATTACGTCGCATTAAAGTCTTCTTAAAGGAGTAGTCATCGAAATAATCCCGACGCAATCTCTAATGGAATTTGCGGTGTCCGTTTATTTAGTCCCATTATGCGTATCTATTGCTTCGCATTGATGAAAGCAAAAAGTGGAATGCAATGTAATGTAATTTATCGCAAAAGTAATAGCTGAAAAATCTTAGGTATAAAATCGGTTGTGCAAAGATGAAAAAGATATTACTGAGGAATCTGAATTTTAAAATACACCTGGTAACATCATAATAATATAACAATCAGAAAACGCTTACAAAACGAATAATAATTGAAGACATCCCCGGAAAAAGCATACAAAGCGATTTCCTGATTTTTCTTGATAAATATCACGTTTCGAGTATGCCTTAAAACCCGCGCCTGACGATCGCCGAAAAAAAGAAGCGACATATTTATCAGTCGTCTCGCAGCACACATTCCTCCTCCGATGAAAGAAGCGTTCCACGATTTTCTCACTATTTGTTCGTTGGATCTTTCGGATCGACAGAAGGTGGAGGAATCGATCTACGATATCCGGGGATACGTTGAAAAACGATCCCGCTTCCTGGATGCGCTCCCTCTCCCCCTTTTTCTCATTTGTGCGGCCCTTCTCGCGAGCGATCTGAATGGACCGGGCTTTGCATTTACGAAAAAAAAATGTCTATAGAATCCATCACGACGTGCGCGTGCAACTATAGTCTCCGGGAAAAATCAACAAAACGACTTCGAGGTTTAGCACACTTAATGGGCAGCGGCGTTCGTATGTATTATATATTTATTGTGCACGCACACGTACACGCGTATTTGCACATAGGGCCCTAGATATTTCCCGTCTGTATCAGAAGGTACCGCACGATGCAACAAGGTGGGCTTAGAGCCCTTCGGCACCTTGCCCCGGGGCGCCTTTTGTTACCTCACACGTGGCCAGGATGTTTCCTTTTTTCATCGCGCTCCTTCTCTTTCTTAGCTACAGAAGGACCTTCCTTCTCCGTGTGTTCTTCCTTCCTTTTTTTATTCGTGTGCAGCATTAAGACAGGCACACGACCTTCTCCATTCGAGAAAGCGCCGAATACAACCTGCCCCTTTCAACCCCTTCGCGGGCGGTTACGCGTGTGCGCCACGTGAGGACTTTTGTGGCTTATCTGCCGCAACAAAGGTTCAATTTCTTCATTCAGAGATCTTTCGTCCTTCAGGGATCTTTTTCTATCTTTATTTTAATTACTGTAAAATGATCTTTTTTGCTCTGAATAATTGTAAAATATTTAAAACCATTTTTGGATATAGAATGACATGTATCACTATTTGTTATATGAAAATTTGAAGGATTTTTCGAGTAAATTAAAGTAAAAAAATATAATGTATATATTTAGATATACATACAGGTTACAAAATATTTTTTAGATTTGTTAACTTTCGCAAAAGTTACCGCATGCCTTGATTTTTTTATCAATTGTTATTCTCACACAGTAGAAAAATGCTTGCATTATCTGTAGCATTTCTGTAAATATTTTTAAATCTCTGTCCTGTCTCTTAAGCACTAAGAGATCAACTCCGCTTAAAGTTAAACAGAATGTCTTTCGTAGACGATAAACCTGTCGCGGTTGATCCCGCACGTGGCTCAACTCGAGGCATTTCCGTAGGGTGTCTTCGCGGCCACAATGCGCATAAACTAACTGCTCGTATGCCGGCGACACGCGACCAACCCCGAACCCTTTCCGATCCGGGATACCGTACCCGTGATGCGAACCCTTCATTCTCATAATCGAATATCGCATGGCTAAGGAATGGATGAAGATAATCGATCGGACTGATTCAACCCTTGGAATATATTTTTCGTACCTGTACACGCGCTCAACACGTGCCGTGTTCCGTAAAAACACTAAGACATTTATCTTCGAGACTGACGGGCGCAAAATTATCTATAAGTGACGGTACATAGCTGTATTTTTGAATCACAATGCTCGTTTACAGAAATTTAGGACCATAGAGATATGACGGATCAATTATAAGCTGTATTTCATTTTGAAATGCATTTTAAAGATACCGCGGAAATGAATTTCTATTTTGAATAGAAATGAAGTGCAGATGACCATTATTGATTTTTACCAATGGTCGTCAACGTCTTGCAGGGGCTGTTGCAGAGCGGTGGCTACCCGACAAGACCGAGTCATCCGCGCTCACAGTCCATGCAGGTACGATTTAGGACAGAGTTGTATCCAGGCATTGTTGATTGCAAAATTTATTTACGGACGAAAGCATGAACATTATTTTGTAATAATAAGGGTTAAAATTCCTTTAGAAGTGATAAGAGCATATTATAGAGATATCTAGATCACTTTTAAAAGGCTCGATACAACTTTAATATGCATGTTTAGAACGGCGAACGATTATTATCTTAAACATCTCGTGTGTGTTTTGGAATAATTTAAAATTGATAAGAAAAACTATAATTGTTAGGTGCAAGCGGCAGCGCAGTTGCTACAGAAGCAGCAAGTTCTTCAAAATAGCGGCAATTTGGTCGGGCGAAGTTTGGCGCAAAGATCATCGCCACCACCTAGCACACCGCCAGCAGTAAAACCGACGAGATTAGAACCTTCGCCGGAGGAAACAACGGACCTCGAAGAGTTAGAACAGTTCGCCAAAACCTTCAAACAAAGACGGATCAAGCTTGGTTTTACTCAAGGAGACGTCGGACTTGCCATGGGCAAACTTTACGGCAACGATTTTTCCCAAACTACGATCTCCAGGTAAACATATTTTTTGTGTAAACTTCAATTAAATAAATATAATTTTCAAATAAATATAAATGCTACAAAAATGTTTCAAAAATATTTGTATTCGGAGTTTTTGAGTTGTTTTTCTTTTAAGACTATTGAGCTTATACATACATATATATTATTCAAATTATTTCTTTTATATATAATAGAGATTAGAGGTATAAACCAAAAGTAGTTTATTTACGTCATTTTAAAGTTAATGAAATAAATGATTATTGACACTAAGTTGAGCAAAATCAATGGTTATGCATTCTAGGTTTGAAGCACTGAATCTTTCCTTCAAAAATATGTGCAAGCTGAAACCACTGTTACAAAAGTGGTTAGAGGATGCCGATAATTCATTGAACAATCCTAACTCTCTGTCGAATCCACTTACGACACCGGAAGCAATTGGCAGGCGGCGGAAGAAGAGAACGTCGATAGAGACCAGCGTAAGAGTGGCTCTCGAAAAGGCTTTTATCCAAAACCCAAAACCCACGTCCGAGGAGATAACCATACTGGCGGATAGTCTTGCGATGGAGAAAGAAGTAGTTCGTGTGTGGTTTTGTAACAGGTAGATATTAAAATTGTTAAGATATACACATGGCCGTATCCAGAATTTTTTTCAGAAGGGATTTTGTCAATGTATCATATAAACAGCAATTTTTTGCGTTAATGAGTTGTTTTTTTTTTTTAATATATTTTAGAGTTTAGAATGTTTCTTTTTCAAGATTTATTTTGAATTGGAAAAAATAGGTCAATCGTAACTTTTAATCATAAATTTTGGAGGAAATTTAACCTCTCCCCTCTCTCCCAGATACATGCGTAAATATACATAGTTGGATATATACGGAAAGATCTTTATTTTTTTTCTTTATTACGATAATAGATTGTAAATTTTGCATCGTTTTCTTTCTCTTCAAGCAACATGTAATTATATTCCAGGAGGCAGAAGGAAAAGAGGATCAATCCGCCAACAGCTGCAATGGGCAGTCCAACAATGACGTCGCCTGCACCTTCGGTATTTGCTTCCCTCGCCAATTCCATCTCTGGCAGTCCTTTAGCGCTTACAACGCATTCCTCCAGCGCTGGTCACTCGCATCCTCATCCAACACCCATACCTCTCGCTTTAGTAACTTCGTCAGGCGGTAATTATCATCCACTGAACAACAAGTCCCACGAGTGACACCAGCAAGTGACCCATCAAGGGGACACTCTCTACCATCAGCATCATCAGCAATCACACCAACAGCAACAGCATCATCATCAGCAACAAGCACGACGCTTGTGCAATCTACCAGAATTCTATCATTAGCCATGATTTGATTTCTCGAAGCTATTAATCGAGGTAACGTTCGGAATATCGGACCTCAATGATCTCTAAGTCTGCCTATTCTTTGTTTATTGGCATTGAGTTAATTTATTCATTCGTGATTTTCTCTTCAATCCCGTTTTATATTTTAATATTTTGACTGTGAAAAGAAAGTCAAGAATAGACAAGTTAACTCGGCATTTAACTTTAACAACTAACTAGTATCACTGATGGGGCTATCAAATGGAATTCGATAATAGCGTACAAGAAATAAAAAATTTATGAAGAAATCACAAGGAAATCCAAAGAAGATGTAATCAATTTTATAGACAATTGAGGAGTGATTGAACGAGAGGGTGTAAATTAAATAAAATACTATAAATAAGAGAAATCTAAATCCATGTTGATGATTAAATCATCCGCAGTTGTAAGCATTTAAAGGGTATACGAAGACACGCTGCGTATTACATACAGTATGAATATTAATATGCACTTTTAAGTATACGGAAAATTAATAATTAATTCGGTTGAATGCATTAGTGTGCACTAATTCACATTAAAGACTGTTGTAAAAAAATTGATAAACACGTAAATATAATATACATAAACAGTTAAACGAGCTAAATGTTCAGCATAAGTTATTTTTTATGTCGTATGCTGTACGTTTTATCAATCGAAAATGTTTATGTTTATTATACATAAACAGTTAAACGAGCTAAATGTTCATAAGTTATTTTTTATGTCGTATGCTGTACGTTTTATCAATCGAAAATGTTTATGTTTATTATATTTACACACCTAAATAGATACATAACTTACTTTTTAATCTGTAATAGTGCAAATTAATATATCCAACCGCGTACAAATTTGTTATATAAGTTTTTTACTGTATATGAGGCAATTATGAGAGATTATTATATTATTATTAGGACAATTTTTTTAATGGAATAGCTTTAATTTTACGTAATTTTATACGTTTCAGGCGTATAAAGTGAATCATGTTGGAATGTATTGTTTTTCTTTCTCATTTGAAAACTATTCAATGGCGAACAGAAATTGCATTTATCTGCAAACAAAACGAACTGACTTTAACACTAGAAGTATCAAACAGTCCTTATCTTTCTATATTTTATAGATAATATTATCAAAAGATACGGTAGTATTTCGGCTTTAAAAGTGTAATAACGTCTAGCGATAGCACGAGACCAATCATGTATCTTTATGCGAGCCGTTGGGTTTTTGAATAAAGCATTATTAGATTTCAAGAAGAGCTGAACCGATTATGTTCTTTGTATATTCAATATTTTGCACTCAGATTGTATATTTCTTATGTAAAAGATAAGATTTTAATACAAGATTTTGAAATTTTTTTTTACTTACCGATAATTATATCTTTCATATTGATGTAATATTTGGTTCTTCATCATTTTCCCAGACAACAAAAAGTGTCTAAAATCGGATCATAAGACGTCTTTTAGTCGTCTAAAAGATGACTTAAAGACATTTTATGTCATAATTTTAGACTTTGTGTTTGGGTTCTTTATTTTCAGTAATTCAGATATTTAATTTTTTTAATGAGTAAGAAAAATGTCGGTACTTCTAGTGTCAATGCTTGTAAATCGTGTGTTATTAATAATAGAAAGTTTGACAATTCCTAATTGCAATCCGATTGTTCATGAAAATTATCAAATTATGTTCATATAAACACGAATTCTACATATGTTTATATTAACATTTTTATAAATGCAGAGTGTATAATTTCATATAATTTTTATAGATTACTCCTGATATATTTCAATTATCATTTCAAAAGATGATCGATGATCTTTTATTAACAACTTTTTTTAATACCTTTGCATATACTCTAATTTACTAAAATTAGTCGTTTGCGAGGAAATACTTATTACTTATTTTTTATAAATTTAATTTGGTTGCAGCATTATCGAAAACTATAACGAACGAGTTATATCAAACACTAACTTCATTAAGCAAGTATCTATTTACACATATGTTTGAATGATTCTAATCGCAATAAATGATGCAGAAAAAATTACTTTACTCATTTTTTTCTTTTCTTCATTGTTGATGTCTTTTTTGAAAATAATTTTATTCGAGGATGTCTTTACTTCCCTGCGACAAACAGAGCTATAGCGTCTCAATGATAAAATAGCGAGATCCGACAATACAATTGTACATACATAGATATACGTAGGCGTGTCTGTCATCGTATCGTACATATCTGTGTCACAGGGCTGTATATATTATACGATTTAAGTCCACCAAATGTTACCGAGGATGCGATGCAAGACGATCGCATGCGGCGTCGCTCTCCCGCGTGCATAGCAACGTTTAGCACTTGCATCCTTGATGAAAAAACTTTTGACAGTCACGAGCGATTAGTTAGCAGTAGTTAAAAATACTGTACATAATGCGGTACCTAGATAATACGTAATGTATATATGATCACGTACATTAAATGGCGAGCTATATAAAGCGTACATATACACTCGTACATCGAGATAGACGCAGTGGAGATTTAAACGCTTCCGATTTTTACGTTATATCTTATTCGTAAAAGTACACAGCACGATATGTCATGTATTTTTTAATACGAGTGATTTAATATATTTTAATATATATTTTTCGTTGTATATATAGGCTCCTATTGGTATATTAGATACTAGGTAGAAACTTTTTGCTCTCCGCTGTGACTCGATTTACGCTCGCTATGATCAATCCGTTTCCCGCGAACACTTTCGGTGATTAATTAAGGGCTATGATTTTAGATTATAGGCCAGGAAACGTGATATACCAATCATATACTTATTCCTAAAACTCATGCGTGTGTATAGATTCCATTATCAACGTGAAAAATTTGCGTAAGAATGTATACATATATAAATACAGTAATTTTATTGTAACATCACGTAAGTTGTCGACTGTGCATCATAGTATATACAAAATCTTTACGTGCATCTGCGTATACATATGCATATATAAATATACATAAATGTATAAACGAACGTTGTATATAGTAAAGATTTAATAAGACGAGATAAGATTTAATAGGACAAGATTTAATAGCAACATGTACTATTATCATCATAATCATTGTCATCATTATCATCATATTATTGAGATTGGTATGTAGTCACAATACATGCTACTGTTGTTAATGTCGCTTGTCGTGTACATTACCATACGACTTTTTATGTATCTAACAGTGTTTTACGTTTCTAACTGTACGTAAGTTACACGTGGAAAGCGCATGCTGTCATTATATGATTCAATAATTTGCACGGTGCCACCGTATTGTTACGTTGCGCTACAAAATAATTTAAAATGCAACAACAGTATTTTGATATATATAGAAAACTTTAATTGCGTAGTTTTCTTCTAAATTATTTGAATAAGTTCAATCACAGAAGATTAATATTGTACAAATGCGTTAGAAAATTTCTTTCCAGCGAGAGTCTGGCCGAACTGTTAGACCACGTACGAGCAACATCCGATAGCTTCTTTTTGTCTCATTTCATACTTCATCTCATTTCTATCCTTAAACCTGAACTCCCAGAGTCGTGGACCAAGCTGTAGCGAAAACACATTCTCGACAAAAACATGCGCGTGAGACAGAAAGGCGAATTATAGTAAGATAAAGGGAGAAACGCGAATAAAAAGAGTTCCTAAGGTCACACATCCGTTGACAGGTACGCGGGGACGACGATGAGTGAAAAGAGGACAGGGAGGTAGAGAATACGATACCTCGAAAGGAAATTGAAAAGAGAAGACAGTTAAGCAAAGAGAGTCATAAAGGCGGGGAGAAGGTTATCGATTTTTGTTCGTCAGCAATTTGTAGATAATTAATATGATAATGATATAGAGAGATACGATCCCCACTCCTCTCCTCGCTACGGCATCATCGTCGGCTAATTATCGTTCGATATGTTGTAATGCGTTTAATAGACGTAATGCGCAAACGGATAGACATTTTATTGTATTAGTTACACCCATCAATTATTATTAGTTATTATTATTTCATTATATATATTTTAACTTTTATTATTTGAGAATAAAAGTGCTAGAGAGCTTTCAGTTACAGCAGCATTTTTTTGTTTGATTTTCTGTAGTTCCTCACTCCTTTATTCCTTCCAAGTTACGATTTTAGTTTATGTTTGTAAAAAAAAGATACATGGGAAGATATTTTTTATGGCATGGATCACTTTCGATGACAGATGCCTATATATCTTAGTTTTGAAAAAAATTTTTTTTTTATTACATTTGTGATGTCGCGTTAGAAATGTATTTTTCTCCTACCGTCCTGTCATTTACATCTGTGTGTGTATATATTAACTGTACATACAATTTAGTAGTGAATAGATAATACTCGATTTGCTATATATATCTGCGTTAAAGCCAATCTTCGATCAGACGGGATAAGAAGCAAGATTAAATACAGGATTAAGATGTGAAGTAATTCTTAATTATTCAAACATTTTTGGCAATGCCAAAAATCATAAATACCGGCTATAAATGAGTAAAATTTATTAGTATAACAATTTGTAAATTATTCAAGTAACATATTTTGAATTACTAAATTAACTTTTGCATAGAGTCATTTTTTATAAAGCGCGCATTAAATTTAAACGAACAGAAATTATACGATCTCTTGCTTTTTATTTCCATCTGCGTCATAATTTGGCTTAAGGCGATTCTAGATGTTCTCAGTAATTAGGAGAAAACGAAGCTACAAAGCTCCGGGTATACCAATTAGTCGACTACTTGTAGAAGAATTTATACTTTCGACGCAAGACGTGCAATTGGATACTTTAAGTTTTGATAGAATTAAATGCCAAATTACGACAAGCTGAGTTAAAGTTTGATTTTAAGAAACATTAAGAAGAGTACAATTAATCTTTCTGGAATCAGCCAAATTGTGCGTAAATATTTGCGGAGTGTACTTAAAGATGTCTGTACTCTAATCGGAAATAATTTTACTTGTGAAATTGGATAGTAGAAAATCGTGCGTATTTTTCAATTTATGGCATTTTGCATCTTAAGTTGAAGTGCCCAATTTTTCGACGTCTTCGTGGAAAATTATAGAATTACCATAGGTTTTATTAACGTTCGATGTGTAATATGTTATCACGAGGCGCATAACATAATCGTGTAAGGGTAATACGCGAAGAGCACGGTATGACAGTTCTTAAAACGTTGCGACGATCGGAAATCCCGTTCAAATAAGAACGATAAATCGTTTAACTATTTTGTACTAAGAATTATCGGAGCGATCATGAACGACGGTGTCGCAATTCATAAATCTTTCCGTCGGCGGACTGTAATAATTATAGACAAATTTCCTGCTAATGTGTGTCTGCAACTATCTCCTCTCATCTTTTGATGAAAGGATGATTTTTTTGGGACTGAAAGAGAAAAAGAAAGAGAGAGAGGAGAGAGTGAATGAGAAGGAGAGAATGAAAATATGAGAGGAAGAGCGAATGTATAAATAAAATCATATCAATCATAAATAGTTCGTGTTATCTAGATATACTACGATTATTACAATTATTATTTATCACAGTATAATTATAGTGAAGGATATTGTAATT